GCCAGCAAGAGGGAGAGTCTGCCAGCATGACAAAAGTCATAATCTTTGGTAGACATGAAAGTGATATCTTAACACCTTTGACATATTTAATTGGTTAAAAAGCAAGTTGTAGCTCTTGTCCACATTCAAGAGAAAAGATTATGTGTGAACAGTAGGAAATATAGGTCATTGGGGGCCATCTGAGAGTCTCCCACACAGAAAGGTTAATAATTTACCAGGGATTATGAGTCAGGATTTGAGCATAGGAAATCTACCTCCAGAGGAAAATGAGACTCAAATGGTTTGGAAACCAGGCTAGGCACAGAAATAAATATGAACTTCTATTTTATCGCCTTTTGGATGAGTCTCTAAAACAAGGGTGGTAAAGATGTAGGCTTTTTTTGTGGTGATTGATTTTTCCCCCATGCAGGGCTTTTAAAAAATTTGAAAACCACATTATGTGGTGTCACATAGTTATCTGAATTTCCAGGAGCTTAAAAAAAATCAGAAAATAAGCTGCCACAATTTCTTCCATTCACACATGGCACCAGCTATTAGACTAGAGCTAAGTAACAATTTAGTATCAATGTGAGTGTCTAATCCCAACAACCTCTTTTACGCCCTCTTCTTCGTACTGGCATGGCATTTATGTGAAGGCATCTGACTTTGCTACAAATGCAATTGAATAGAGTATAGCATAACAGAACTAAACAGTGAGCCCATTTATGGGGTAAATTAAAAGTGATTTCTTTCAGATATTTAATCTATACAAAATTTCTTTGAATAATGAGAAATGTATACGTAGAACTTAAACATGTAAAAATGCACTATAAAAAGTGCTGTTAGCTTAGCAAAGTCACATACGTATTTGTAGACAGCTGATCTAAGAGGACATCTTTATTATCCCCAACCAAGAGAAGGCTACCTGATCATCTGCTTAAGCACAGACTAGTACCCGTAAGTGCTAGCTCCGTTATTGCACATACAACACCTTTGAGGTACAACCTTTTGGGGAATGGGATTTTTCATTTATTTGTTTAATCAGCATATATTCTGTATGCTAGGCACTATATTAAGAAATCTAATTGTAATAACTCAAATTGTGAAACATTGAAATGCACGATAGATAATTTCAACAATGTCTTATAGCAAGTCTGTGGTATACAGGAACAAAACCTTGGTCTTCTGCTTTCCCAATATTCCAGGCTGCCTTGGTTCAAATTCTCCTGATAATGTAAAATTGCTAGGTTGATTTTGGGTTATGAATATTACCCTTGGCAGGCTGCTTCCACATTACCATATAATTGTATGTTAATTATCATATTCCTCATACTGCAAATGAACTTATATAGGAAATATAATTATAGCTACTAGATTCTAGACTCTGGGAATCAGGTGATTCAAACTGGCTCTTTCTGTCTCGTAATTCTGTAGGAGCATATCATAAAAGAGGAATGGTATTTCCCACCACAGTCCCAGCTGGTAATTCTGATTGTCCCATGATTTCACAGCTGCACATCAGCCCCCAATCACACTTGTCTCTGGCAATGACCCTTTCCTTAATTAGAACATGACTTAGACTTTAGTTCTAACTTATCTGTTGCCTTGGCCCTAGGCTACTTGAGTACAGGCTGGGTTAGCTGGAAAAGAAAATCTACTTGAACAGGTCTGTTTGCCCTAATATTGAACAAAGTGAAGAGCCGTTTGTCTGGTTGCTGAATCTATTTAGCAAATGAATTTATTTTCTTAGGCAACTTCTCTCTTACAATCTAGTCTCGTGTCTAGGCTTTATATTTGTGGTGTTATTTTTATAGTTCTTATACCTTCCCTAACTTGGGTATGGTCTCTAGAAAAAGTCACTAGGCCTTGTTCAAGCCTACATGTGACAGCATGTGGAGTGTGATGTGAGGAGCAGGCAAAGCCTTCCTCTAAGGCGGCAGGCAGGTCAAACTTAATATTGCCCTTTCTTCCTTTTTTTAAAAACCTTAAATTTTCAGGGTCCCTGTCACTTCTCTGAGTGGTTAAGTCACCCACTGATGAGAGCTTTCCTCTCGAAGTCTATGTCAAAATACATGTATATTAGAGAGAAAGGCATACTTAAAGAAATGTGATTTCTGGCATTCTTTCTGCTCACGTTACATTTTAGATGCATTCTCTTGGAAAGGCACCAATAGAAGCTAAATAGAAGGTACAGAGAAAATGAGGATAGGGTGAAATGACAGAAAAAGTAAACATTTTATTTTTCAAATGACAAATATTCATTAAGCATCTACAATGCACTTGGATTTAATATACTAGATAGTTAGGGAAGATATAAAAGTGATGCAAAATCTGCTTCCATATAGATTTGTAAAACAGGTAAGAGTGCTATTTGCTACAGAATCCTCTCACAGATGGCACAATATTAGAGTGGTATAGATAGTTAAGGAGGAACCTCAGGTTTATTATTATTCTGTATAATCACAGGTGGCTTGGAATTGGACTGCATATAGTGTTTAGTGGAGAAAAGAAAGAAACAAATTAGGCTACAATAAAATAGTTACTTTGGGCAACTGAAGACAGGAGTTGAGACTATATCTCATGGGCTCTAGATAGCCATCTACTATGGTCTGAATGGTTTTGTCCCATTCCCCAAATTTCATGTTGAAATGTAATCCCTAATGCAACAGTGTTGTAAAGTATGGCCTTTTGGAGGTGACTGAGTTTTAAGAGCTCTGCCCTGATGAATGGGATTAGGTGCCCTTATAAAAGGGCTTGGCAAAAGGAATTTGACCCTTTTGGCCCCTTCACCTTCTTCTATGAGGACAGAACTTTTGTCCTCTCCAGAGGAAGAGGTGTTCAAGATGCCATCTTAGAAGCACAGCTAGGATGTTTACCATACAACCAAATCTGCCATGCTTTGCTCTTGAATTTTCCAGCCTCCAGAACTGGGAGAAAATAAATCTTTGGTCTTTATAATTCATAATTATAAATTCATATTTATAATTCATAATTATTCAGTCTGTAATATTTTGTTACAGCAGCATAAACAGACTGTGACAGTTAATACTGAGTGTCAACTTGACTGGATTAAAGGATGCAAAGTAGTGATCATGGGTGTGTCTGTGAGAGTGTTGCCAAAGGAGATTAACGTTTGAGCCAGTGGGCTGGGAAAAGCAAATCCACCCTTAATCTGGGTGGGCACCATCTAATCAGCTGCCAGTGCAGGTAGGCTATAAAGCAGGCAGAAAAACTTGAAAAGACTAGACTGGGCCTAGTCTTCTATCCTACATCTTTCTCCCATGCTGTATACTTCCCGCCCTTGAACATCATACTCCAAGTTCTTTAGTTTTGGAACTCAGACTGGCTCTCTGCTTCTCACCTTGCAGATGGCCTATTGTGGGATCTGTGATCGTGTGAGTTAATACTTAATAATCTCCTCTTTATATATATATCCTATTAGTTCTGTCTCTCTAGAGAACCCTGACTAATATACATACTAAGACACCATCCCAGCCACATGTCTGAATAGAAAAATAACAAGATAGAATGGATGTCTTAGGAAGAACTGTGCTGATGGTGTATTTGAGATAGGAGACACTGCAGGAGAAAGGACTGGTTAGGCAACAAGCAGAAATGCAAATTTGTTTAAGACAGTAATGTTAAAAGAAAAACTTCAGCCAAATTAAATTTAAAGGAGTTGGAGCAATGAACAATTCATGAATTGGGCAGCCTCCCTAGCCAGAGTAGGTCTGAGACTCCAGTGCAGCCACATGGTGGAAGATGATTTATGGACAGAAGAAGGAAAGTGATGCACAGAAAACTGAGGTACTGAGGTACGGAACCAGCTGGACTGGTTACAGGTTGGGGTTTGCCTTATTTGAACAAGGTTTGAACAAATGACTACATTTGATTGGCCAAAACTCAGTAAGAGACACAAGTGTAGGCTACGGTCTGTTTACACCTCCACTTGTTATAGCTCACGATATACAGAGAAACCTTTAGGCTGAACTTAAAATATATAAGGAGGCTGCTTTAGGCTAAACTTCATTTAATAGTAACTAGGGATGAAGGTGAAAGAAAGAATTTTAAACAACTGTCTGGACTTGGAAAATTATTGAGATGAAGAGGCAAAGAAGACAATGAAGTTTCCAGCCTGAATGACTCAGCTTCCGGCGGGTGAGGGTGACCTAATGTCAGCTAGGTGACTTAGTAAAAGGGAAAGCCCCAGATCTCAGTAAGTATAAGTAGAGATTCACAGAATTGTAAAGCTGGAAAGGGCTCTAGAGATAATCTATTTTAGAACCTTTATTTTATAAGAGGACAACTAAATCAAAAGAAAGGTCTGTTAGCCCAGGGCAGTGAACATGGAGTAGGGCCATAGCGTAGCAGCACCCACATCCTCTCCCACGGGGCCATCCTGCTTGCTTCCTCATCCTGACCATGTAGCTCTCTGGACAGTGGCTCTCAAGGTCTGAACTGAGGACAACGGCCTGTCTGCAGCCAAATTAGGCAAAATAAGGGAAACACATAATTTTTCAAAAAGCTAATCATTTAAGAAATCAACCTTTACTCTGTAATTAATCTAAATTCCTCAGTTTTTGTTTTGTTTTAGTTTATGGATAATCTTTTAAACCCGTAAGTCCGAGAGTCATTTCTGTAGGATGGCAAGTTATGCGTGAGCTCTCTTTCCAAAAGCACAACAGCAGGGGGTAAAGATGCAGCCACAGAAAGGATGACAACAGTGTCTTCCTGGCTCTGCCCCCATCCCCACTGCCAGGATTACAGCCATCTTCCCTTTGTTGTAATTCTCTTGCGATAGGGCTGGGCAGGAGTCCCCAACAGAGGGATGGGGGCGGGTGAGCGGCTCCCACCACCCAGAGCTCTGAATCACTGTCCCTCGGCCGGAGACCAAGGCTTGGTGTTGGCAGCCGGGGCGTGGACATCCATTCCTGATACAACCCTGTGGGATTTCTTTAATCCTTAGTCACACGTATGGCACACCGCAAAAGAGGCTTCAAGCCCCCTCCCCAGCTAATTACCTTCGCGTACTGACGCCTCAGCCCCTCATAGAAGCAGACCCTGGTGGGCTGCCCCGTCCCAGCTCCAGAGAGGCTCCGCCGCCCGCCGGGATCCAGGGTTGAGCTCCTTCCCGGGGGAGCTAAAACTCGACAGGGATAACGGGCCACAGCACCGTCTTGGCTTTAAGTCACGGGACTGGGGCACGCTGTTAGCCAGCGGGAAGGCCTGTGGCGGCAATCACCGAGGGTCCAGCGAGGGCTGACCCATTTCCTCCACAAACGAGCTAACCCGAAAGCAGTGCCCAGGAGCCAAGAAATCGGGGCTGCTTCTCCTTCGACAAGCGTCGAGAACAGGTCATATTACTTAGGCCCGTAACCTCAACTGTAAAATGAGGGGTCTAGGATTCCCTGTAGGAATGCAGGATTCTAAAATCGAACAGGGTTGGTAGCACCGCCGGGGCGGAGCCTCCCTGGGCGCCGCGGGACTCTAACGGCAGGACTCGCCACTGCGGGGGCTCCCTTCAGACCCTACTCTCCGCCACGTCGCTGCGGGGTCAGAGGGCAGCGTGCGCGTCCCCGCCAGGCCTGCGTGCGCGTCTCCGCCCAGCTGTCGGCCGAAACCGGGCCGGGTGGGCGGGGCGCAGCGGGGCGGGGCGCGCGTGGAGGGTGGCTGCCTCTGGAGTAGGCCGGGAGGAGAGGAGAAAAGGCGGCGGCCCGGCTCGGGGATAGGGGCGGAGGAGGCAGTCCGGACGGCTGTGTGGGCCACGGAGCGTCGTCCAGACAGAGCGGAGCCAGCTGGGCACTGCGGCCAGGGCAGCTAGGGCCTGGACCGCGGTTCGGCCGCGGCGGCCGGTGAGTGTCGGGAGGCCCGCAGGGGAGGCCGGCGGCGTCCGCGCTGCGGCGGGAACGGAGGCGGTGGCCGGGCAGTGTGAGGCCCGCGGCCGGGACCGAGGCGCCGGCTCTGGCGGCCGTGGGGTCGGCGGGCCCGGCCTGGAGCGAAGGGAAAGGCGGCAGACCCCCGTCAGTTTGCGTCCCGGGTCGGCAGACCGGGCGCGTTGACTGGGCGTCCGTGGCGCTTCTGTCCACGCGCGGCCGCCTGCCGGGCCAGCCGTGAGGTCAGCAAATGGCGACCCAAGCCCCGAGGGCACCGACCTCCCGTGTCCCCCCAGTTTGCGTGTCTGTGTAAAGGGCCGAAGGAGTTAAACTTAGGGAACCTTAAGCTTCTCCTTCCGTCTGGCTTTAAAAAACTTGGGTTCTTTGGGGACAAACGGGTTAAAGAGACTGGGGAAGCATCGTCCACGGTCTGCACGGGATGAGCAAAGTTGGTAACTTTTCCATTCATGGAAGTGAGAGGATCTGAGCCTTAGCCTCGGTCCCTGTTAAAGGGAAACTTCCTTATTTTGCAGACCTGAGGTTGCGTTGTGTCCTGCGCCTTGGAAGTACTTTGCTTGGAAGGGGTTTATAGAGCGCATGCTGAATTCAGAGTAATCTGCCAGTATGTTTTTAAGGGGTGTATTTGGGAGTATAGAGACAAACAGGCAGAACAGTGTGTGTTTACCATGGTTCTGACGTACTCCACTTTCCTCTACCTTTCTCTTGTTTTTCTTTTTGAGCCTTGTCGTAGGTCCCAGATAAAAGTTGCTTGGGAACGAATTGACCTTTTATTCCATGATTACTTCGTTGACTCTGATCCAAGATGGAGTTATTTATGGGCATTGTGATACCGGTGTAGGTTAATTTAAAACTCTTTTAATACAAAATCCCAAACTGTAAATTTTAATTTCTATTTGCTAAATTTCAATACTGTTTGTTCTTTAGAGACCTATGTAAATTATATTAACAGGTCTTGCATTTGCTCATACTAAGGTTTTCTAAAGTAGTCAAATTGTTGACAAGCAAAAGGAAAAGAGTAGCATAAATAAACCTTTAGGATTTTTCAGAGGGTTAGATTTCAATATGCGATTTCCGCTGAATCACTCTTTTTTATGCTTAGTCACTGTTTCTCATCACAGATGTGTAATTGGGGATAACATTGTGTTTTGCTAACTTTTTTTATTTGCTGGTTTGTTTTTACCTAGTACTTTAATGCCGTGACATAACTTTTTTGTTTTTTAATTCCGGAAATGGTGGAGTTTCATGAATGCTATAAGAGAACTGAAGTTTCCAATATGGGCAAACTTTAATGTATTCCAAGTGTACTAAGTATTTAATTTCAATCCAGTATTTCTCCCGGTCTAACATTGGGAGACTTCTTCTAAAAAGTGTCTTTAATATGCCATTAAAAAGCAATGTTATACAAGTAATGATAACGTGTATAAAGAGGTACTTTAAGGTCACCAAAATAGGCATTGGTTAATGTTTACTGTTTGATATAACATGTTTCTAAGATGAGAATATTTTAATGAATAAACCCTTTGCTATTCTGTATGATTTTGGATAAATTTTTTAATTGAGTTGCTAAGACTGCTTATTTGATAAAAGGAGTTAGTACATACTAAGGAATGCCATTGTATTTATAAAATTTGTTGACATTAAACAATTCAAATGCTGTGTAAAATATAAATTCTAATTCAGTGTGATGAAATACATGAGATTGGCCTTAGGTTGCTTCTGTATTTTAAGTAGCTAGATGTTAGATACAGACAGGTGTACCTTGGTTAAAACCCAGTCTGTGAAAATCTTTCATGAAAAAAAACTTTTTTTAAAGCATGGGTAATGTTATTACTAGGTAGTTCCTCATATGATTGCATTTAATAAATTACCTCATAAAACTAATTACTCAACATTTTTGTGTATGTAAGTGTGGCTGTTGTGCAAATTGAAGTACCTCTGGTTTCTGAGACATGTTTATATCCTGTTGGACACACTCATAATTGTAAACAATCTTTGTAAAGTTCTAGATTGTTTGCAGAGTAGAATAATTGCCTCAAGGTCACAAAGCTGAGACTTCTTGGAGGCCCATTTCCCAATGTCGTGTTACCTGTTTTAATAAACTTGAGTTCTGCCATTTGGGTGGATTATTTTTATCTGAGTATCAACTCTAATAGATTCTAGTCCAAGTGTTAAGTGTTTATTAATATTATTTCAATTTTCCATGTAAGTCTATGATGATTTCATTTGCTTATTTAGTGGATAACATTGAAAGTAGTTACACCTCACTTTTGAATAAGCTACTCATGACCATGACCATATTTAGAAATGGAAGATATATGTTTTGATTATATTATATCTGGAACAATAAAACTTGAAAAAAAAATTCTATATAATTAGGTCATCCATTTTATAAATTGAAAGAATGAAAGTTTAATAAAAGAATGTATATATTGTAATCCATTTAGCCATTTGGAACTGAAAGCTAGTGCTTTAAGTTGGGAATTTAAGGATAATGTATTTTTGATCTTGTCTAACCACCACCCCCCACCCCACCTCTTTTTAAACAGTAAGATAAGATGCCTAACTGAGGTATAGATTTATTATGATAAAGCTGAGTGTACCTGATAAACAGATTAGTCAGCAGAAGTGCTATACAAAGATTGAGACTTTACAAAGAATGAGATTTGCACTGCAAGAGTTATAACTTATTGCTAAATTTATAAATTGTTAAATTTAGCAATGTAATGTTGTTCCATACATTTATACTGAGCATTATCAATGCAAATTATTCTTCAAATTTGAAATTTCATTTGTGGACTTGTAATAATGGTTAATTAATTGAACAAATCTGTCTATAGTTTTATATCAGCCTTACATTGGAATAGTATGTAACTGTTATAAGTATATTTCATCTAATACCATATTACTTATAATACTAGTAGGCTGTTAGCACTTCCTATTTTGAACTTCTTTTTCTCACTCTCTACCCTATTTAGGTACCTTTGTGCAAACTTTAACCCCCGCCTTTCTTTTTAAACCCACTGCTTCTATATTCTTTTTTTTCCCAGTAATTGGTCTTCAGGGTTGATTAGGGAATTAAAATGTTTGATAAATATAAGGTAAATGTTTCCTCCTGATTCTTCTATTATTATTATTTAAGATTTTAAAACAATGGAAGGTTGAAACTAACTTTCTTTGATTTGCTTTTTTCATAGATGATTTGTCTTACTCCATACAAAGTGCCTGGAACATATTACTTACATGCTCAACAAATGTTGGGAGTACCATTGACTTTTTATGGACAGTACAATGAAGTAATTTTGATTCAGTTTGATTGATGCCAGATCTGTAAGGCTGTATTTTTATGTGGAATATATAGTTTTCCATGAAATGAAGAATATCATTTGTTTTGGAATCCATTTCATTATTTTCTTGTATTATAATTCTTCGGGTATATAACATGATAATTCTCTAACGGAGGCACAATTTTGAATGTAGGGAACATAAGGATGAATGAGACAGAGATAATTCTGACCTTCATGGAGCTTATAGTTTTCCACTGGAAATAGATAGTAAACAGAATGATGATTTACTTAAAGTTTTACTAGTATTACAGAGGAAAAATGGAGGGTGTAATGAGTATACACAATATGGGATCCATACCTAGTCTTTGGGGTATATGGAAAAGTAACACACGGAGACTTAGGGTTGAGGCAGCAGGACATGTGAGGAGGGAAAGGGATGTGTGTGTATCTATGTGTCAGAGGTAAAGGCAGACATTAGGAACAGCCCTGAGGCAGCAGGCTGTTTTGAATACATTAGATGACTCTTAGCATATTTTAAAATCATGCTAATTTACAATTCTTTATATTTACTTATCTCTTTATCTATTTTAATGAATTTGAAAAAATAGATTTCTGAGGGCAATATATTTATGCCTTTAATGACAAGATCTCATTTCATTATATGGGAAAAATGCCATGTCTTAAAACTATTTTTATGGATTACTTGTCAGCCACAGAATATGAGTTGGCAAAGAACTTCTGTTAGAGAAAATTGAAAGCATTGAAAGCATTTCATGATTTACGAATATTCATGATTTACGAATATTTTCTGGTCTGGTGAAACTTTTCCAGTAATTTAAATTCAAGTGTGAATTAATAGAGATGTTAGTTGTTTTCTACTGTGCCTGCTGTGTCACTGTTCAACCAATAAATAAGGAGTTGATGTTTTTAAACCCATTTTACAGTATTTACAAGCAATTGCAAATGTAAAGGCATGTTTAATTTGATGGTTGTGGTCTTGATTAGGAGAAGGATGAATCTAGGAGAGTTTTAAATTCTGAAGCTGAGGATTCTATTCCCAGAATACTCTTTTGGTATTGACTGCTGTATTTTCTATTTTCTTAATATAGTTAACAGGAAAATGGAATTGAACTTGACTTCTTATTTGTATGGCTATTTTAAGAATTGTTAAATTTAGTAATGTAATGATGTTCCATACACTTATATTGAGCATTATCTATGTAAATTACTCTTCAAATAATTTAAAACATACATTCAAAGCAGAGTAAAATGCTATTATAATTAGAAGGGACCAAATGACTTTCTTGACCACAAGAGTGATTAAGTGTTGGGATAAACTACAAGCAAAGTTGTGTAATCTCCATTCCTCACATAGCATTTTAAGATTGGATCACCAGTTACAGAGTGCTGCCCTATTTTCTTAAAACTTTTATAAGTAAAC